AGGCCCACTTGGGACCGGTTTTTGACCAGCTCTACCACTGTTGTTGTAAACCCCCCCTCGCCACATTAAAAACCTCCCACTCTACAAACCAACTGCTCCTCCCCAACAACACACAACATCACACAACCTGCCCCTGCATCCCCAAAGTCACCCATTGTAGACCCGAACAACCCATATGCTTGCTTGCACAACCACACAACTGCACTTACTGTAATTTCCTACAACCCAACTTGCTACCTATCCACATACAGCCTGCAACCCTCCTCTTAGGATAATTGACACTTAGAGACTTAGATATGAAGACGAAAGCGATGAAAAAGGAAAAATAAGGAGGAGAAGCAGAATAGGAATGACAACGTCAACCTAGAGCAGTGGAGTTGGAGGTGAGACTTGAGCGACAACTGTAAAGGTTTAGGGTATATATATATATATATATATAGAGAGAGAGAGAGAGAGAGAGAGAGGAGGGGGAATTTTTGTAATTATATAAATATATAAAGGGTAAGTTTGTAATTTAATCGGGTTTGCAATGAGGCGGGTAGACATCTATCCTCGTTCCCATCTCGTCCCTATTTTCGAAGAATAAATTTGTCCTTGTTCCCATCCCAACCTATTTTGGGGAATCCCTATCCCGTACGAGGTAGGATGGATCCTCGAAATTCAAAGGCCCATTGCCAACCTTAGGTGTACAAGTTCCTTGTGATGCCTTTTGGGCTTACAAATGTATCAACCACTTTCTACACACTCATGAATCATATTTTCCAGCCTTAAACAAGTTTGTGGTGGCGTACCTCGACATTATTAACATCTGTAGTGATACGCTCGAGGAACACATTGAACTCCAAACCATTTTCAAGGGGTTGCAAGACAACGAGCTCTATGTCAAGAAGAGCAAGGATTCATTTTCTCAACTTGAATTAGACTTTCTTGGCCACAAAATTAGAGACAAAAAACTTATAATGGAGAAAGGAAAGCACAAGCCATGGGAGAATGGGAACCGCCTACAAAAGTGACAAAGTTACATTCTTTCTTAGGGCTTGTGAATTACTACCGCTGATTCATCAAGAGTTACTCAGTAAGAGCTACTCCACTTATTGACCTACTGAAGAAAAAAAAAAAAAAAGGTTTGGGAGTGGTCTGAGCAGTTTCAATTGGCCTTTGATGATTTGAAGCAAGCGATGATGGAGGAACCTGTGCTCGTTTTACCGGATTATTCCCAACCTTTTGAGGTACACACTGATGCTTCTGATTTTGCCATTAGAGGTGTTTTAATGCAGGGAAAACATCCTTTAGCTTTTGAGAGTAGAAATCTCAATGAGACAGAGAGGTTCTATCTTATCCAAGAAAATGAGATGACCGCAATTATAAATTACTTATAAATTTGGAGGCATTTCTTATTGGGATCCAAATTCCTAGTGTTGACAGACAATATGGCAACAAACTACTTCTAGAGTCAGAAGAAGCTAAGTCTGAAGCAAGAAGATGGTAGAATTTATTGGCCTAGTTTGATTATATCTTACAATCCAAACCTAAAAAATCAAATGTTATGGCAGACACACTGAGTAGAAAGACCGAGTTAGTAGCCATGAACAAGTCGCACAAGGGGATTGTTGAACCTATCAAAGTTGGGATGAAGCATGACCCTTTAGCTAAGCAACTTATTAAGCTAGTGACCGAAGGCAAGGCCAAACAATTTTGGGTTGAAGATGGTTTTCTTTACACCAAGGGTAAGCGAGTTTATGTTCAGAGATATGAAAATCTGTGGAAGAACTTGATCAATGAGTGTCACGACACAAAGTGGATAGGCCATCCAAGGCAAAGACTCATGAGAGCTTTGCCAGAGTTAGCCTACTATTGGCTACAAATGTGAGAGGTGGAAAAATTTGTGAAGACTTGTCTAGTTTCACAATAAGATAAGACAGAGAATAAACACTCGGGAGGGTTGCTAGAGCCATTACCGACACTCGAGAGGCCTTGGGTGACTATTAGCATGGATTTCATCACTACATTGCCGATTTCCGAGGGATGTGGTTCGATTATTGTGGTGTTGGACCAATATTCCAAGTATGGAATCTTTATGGCGGCACCAAAACTATGCACAAACGAAGACACTGCTCGATTGTTTTTCAAGCATGTAGTGAAGTATTAGGGACTACCGCAACCCATCATCAATGATTGAGACTCAGAGTTCACAGGGAAGTTCTAGACAAAGTTGTTCAAGCTCATGGGCTCTACACTGTATTTCTTCACCAATTTTCATCCGCAGATGAATGGACAAATCGAGAGGGTAAACACACTTCTAAAGTTGTACTTGAGGTATTTTGTGAGCATCAACCAGGGAGATTAGGTGAAGTTGCTGGATATTGCATAATTTTCTTACAACTTGCAACAAAGTGAAACTACCAATTAAGGTCAATTCGAAATAATTGTGGGACAACAACCTCTTACACCGAACACCGTTAAGAAGATATACAATGGTAAGACTCTCGCGACATTCAAAATTGTCAAGACTCGGCACGAGCAAACAAATATCGTTTGGTCGTACTTGAGCAAGGCAACCAAGAAGATGAAGAAATGGGCAAACAGTAAACATAGACATGTTGAGTTCTTTGCGATAGACATGGTGTTTGTGAAGATTTTGGCTAGTTAACACAAATCAACTTGCTCACTCTATAAGGGACTCGTGTGGAAGTATGAGGGCCTTTTCCCATTGTCAAGAGGGTTGAAAACGTCGCTTATCAGTTGGGGCTACCCTTGAGACATAACTTTCATCCAGTCTTTTATGTGAGTTGTTTGAAGCCTTATCATGCAGACAGGGAAGATTCTGACAGAAACGAGCCCAAACGAGTACCATTTGGGGCTACTTCCACCTATGACAGGGATATTGAGGCAATTGTGGACACAAGAGTAGTTCGCAAGTAAAACTAATTTGAGTCATGAGTATCTAGTGAAGTGGAAGGGCTTGGCAGATTGTGAAACTAGTTGGGAACCCAAATATGCACTTTGGCAATTTGAAGGCAAGGTTAGGGTTAGGATGCGGCTTCGCGATGAGGGCATCTTCGCAGTTGGTGGGGGTGGTGGGGGTGGGCCGGAAGATGCCATGTCCAATCCAAGCCTAAGTTTGTATGAGGCCCAATATCTAGTTCAAGAGGCTTAACCCATACTTGACCCAAAAGCATCAAAGAATATGCTAGAGAATATTTCCACAATATTCTTTCACCAAAAATTCAGCAGAATAAGACTAAGATTATGTTGCTTGTACACTTAATCCTAGCCATCAATCTCAATGGATATGCTTGAATCTAGACCGTCAGATCTACTTATAAACTCATATATATAGCTAACTAGTCTTAGGTTTAATTCATTCAAAACATTATATTCAATTGGGAGTAATACAATAGAATTTTTTGCTCTCCATCTCTATTCTTAGTGTTCTTATTTCTCTTTGAGAGTTAGTGGGTTTATTTTGGCATTCTTTTAGAGTCGTGACACAATGTAGAGGTGTTACTTGGAATTTTTTCTTAGTCAGAGCTAAAAAAAAAAAAAAAAAAAATCTGTCATGTAGATACTATGGATAACTAATTTAATGAAAATATAATAAAATGCTATTAAAGTTGAGCCCTATGATGTTTCTAAAAGTAAAACTCATCTAATTCTGAATCTTAATCAATAGTCTCACTAAGTTAGTAGTCTAATTAACAGATAACTATCGATGAATTTTGAACATATGAAAATTTACTTTAATAAGTATAATTTTTTGTATTTTGTTTCTAGATTTATCAAAACGACCCACTCCCCACTTCCTAACTTTTTTTTTTTTTTTTTTTTTTAACACTTACTAATCCCAAAATCACATTTTACAATATCAACTTACATATACATGTATACATTAATCTATATCTTTGAAAATATTGAAATAAATTGAAACTAACATTGTGAGAATTAAAAGATAACAAAATGAAAGTTTGAGATATAGAGGATTATCTTAGAAATGAAAACTTCTTTGGTCTTTTAAAGAGTAAAACAATAAAAAGCGATAAATTAAAAGCTAATTAATTTCATGCTATAATACTCTTGAACATTTTATAGTGACATGTAGAAAAATAAGGAAAAGGGTGTGGACATTCGCAAAATCGTGACATAACAGATAGTGAAGATGAGAGTTGTAATTGGTAAAGTCAAAAAAAACTAAGGATGGTCTTGTAATTACATAACATTTGTTAGGGGCCTTTTCGTCCTGACATATATCTTTTTTTTCAGAAGACTAGCCGGCCTAAGTATCTTCTCTGCCTCTGCCAGCCAATACTTGTGAAGCAATTTAACAGAAGTACTCTTTTGGTTGGTTAATTATAGGTAGCGTTACTGCAATTCGAAAAGCAGCAAAGAATCTCGTTGACTCTTTTTCATCCAAACGGCCAGAGAACAAATAATGTGGGAAACCTAATACTTCAATCGTTTTGATAATTAAGCTATATATTATATATATAGAAGAAGAAATAATTGTTACCTGTCCTATTCAAATCAAAACCAGAGCGGTTGGCCAACTCAGTCAATGCATTCCTCCATGTTTGCACCCTTCCTATATTCTCGCTGAAGTTTTCTTCATGCTTTACAAAGGCTTCACGAAAGTTTCCTGTTTGTTTCCTTACAATAGATGGATCCACATCATAAAAAACGGGGATGACCTTCTGTCCTCTTGTCTTCATACATTCAACAATTTTACCAAGTTCATCCAAACACTAAGTAGAGGTTGCAAAATTTCTTGAGAAAACAATGATTGAAAATCTTGATTCTTCAATTGCTTCCAGAAGTTCCGATGAAATGCATTTTCCTCGCTCAAGTTCTTTGTCATCTATAAATACATTAATTCCGCTTTGATTCAAAGCGCTATATAGATGATTGGTAAAACTTTTGCGGGTATCTTCACCTCTAAAGCTTAGAAAGACATCATACTTCCAGCTAGAGAAAGAAGTACTATATGTAGATGTAGATGCTGCAAGGATGCTCATGGAAGACAAGCTGGTTTTGCAAACGATTCTCTCCTGTGTAAATTTAATTTATCTTTAATTTTAATTTTTGAAAAATAACCCAAATAATAAGTTTTTAAAGATGCCAAAACACCAAATCGAGTTTATCTGCATAATTAATTTCACGAATATACTTTTATTAAGCAAGAAAGAAAAAGCTAACTCGTTCAATTAAAGTTAAAAACTTTGATATGATTCCTTAGAATTGTTCATCCTGTTTAAAATGAAAATCCCGAACTTTTAAAGCTTTTAACGGCTTATGGACTATAACATCCGAGGTTTTTTTTTTTTTTAAAAAAAAAAATTTTGAGACAAACATTCAAGTAAAATAAATGATGAAAATAGTTAGAAACAGAGTTAGTGTCAAAATTAAACTTACAACTTCAAGGGTGCGGCAGCAACTGATGGATGAATTCTTACTTATTTCCGATTGAATAACTGCTTCAAAAATCCAGAGGATTTTCCATTGTTGTTAGCCGAAAAAAATTATCTATTGCAACATCAATATAGCATAAGTGAAAGAATATTAGAACTTTTAACAAACTTTCAAAACACACATTACCAGAAACTTCAGCGGCTTCAATCTTCCTTTCCTTCTTCAGCAATTGCAACTTTAGATTTTTTTTTTTTTTTTTTTTTTGCTTGTTACGACAATACTACTTTACCATTTCCCTATTAAAAAATTGTTCAAGGGTCCATAATCCATATATATATTTCAGTTTGTTGAGACTTGAGATGCATGAAAGAGCCGAGCAACTCTATTGAAGACTGAATTTAATAAATTTTATGGAGTTTCTAGGAAATCTGCTCCAAATTTCTCATTACTTTTTTATCTCAAATAATAACTTGTCAAGGGTCTTCTTTTGGTGCTTTTACCAAATACAGGATCAACAATAGTTAAATTTTAATTTTTTATGATTAAATTTAATCCATGAAGTTTCCAGGAAATTTGGTCCAAATAATTGACTAATAGTCCAATATAAGTTGACACAAATAACTGAAATGGGACCCATTAAAGCTTTGGGACTTTTCTGGGCTGAACCCATGAATGGTCTGTCCAATCCAATATGTTCTTTTTTACGCAATTCCAAAAATGAAATTCAATTTTTATTTTTTTTATTTTTTTATGTTTTCAAAAAGATTGAGATGAATGAATTTCTTACTATGAAACTAAATCCTCTTCCAAGTTTTATTATATTAAATATTCTTATTTGTAACAGTAATAGTACCTAAGCGATCCAATGATATTATGGGATGATTGCTAAATGAATTAACTTTAATTTATTTCTTTTATGTTAACTTGATAAAATTGTGAACCTTTTAAAATGAAAAAACTTATTAAACAATGAATGAATGCATCTAATTAATGGAATGTGAAGTATAATTTATTGGATAATAAATACTCATCAAATTAACACAAAAAAGAACAAAAATCCCATTAAATTTTAATTATCTGCGACACAAAAAGGTTCTTATCATTCTTGACGATGTGGATGATCAAGAACAGTTAAATATGTTGGCTGGAAGGCATGACTGGTTGAAAAGTCATTGAGTAGATAAGGTGTATAAGGTCGTTAAACAACTAAATGATGATGACGCTTTACAATTATTTAGTTTGAAATCCTTTGACCATAAGGCCCTTAAAAGAATACATTAACCTGGCGGTCTTCCATTAGCTAAAGTTAGGGGCTCTTTTCTATTTGGTAAAAGTGTAGAAGAATGGAAAGATGCACCGAAAAAACTAAAAAGATATTGCAATTCACGATAGACTTCAAATCAATTCAAGGAAATGATCAAAAACTATTTCTCGATATTTGTATGTTTATTTAAAGATTATGTGGCACAAATTTTGAGTGGTTGTAATTTTAATGCAACTAATGGAATAGGTGTTCTCATTGACAAATCTCTGTGTCAATGCATGATTTATTATAAGAAATGGCCAAAAAATTGTTAAGAGATTTTCTGAAAGAACCTAGCAAACGTAACAAATTGTGTGAGGAAGCCAATGTTAGTAATGTGTTGACAAGAAACATGGAAAGCAATTTAATGGGAAACATGCATTTTTTAAGTTCATGATTTTTTATTTATAAAGTTCCAAATAATGCTAAACGTTTCAGGAACTGAACAAGTAGAAGGAATAATATTCAATTTTCTTGAAGAAGTGCATTTTAGTGCCAAAGTTTTTTGTGAATCTAAGATTACTTAAGATTCGTAGTGTACAAATTTATTAATTTACTTGTGAAGTTTTGAATTTTAACTGACCTAATTTTTTGTTAACTACAAATTCAAAGCCGTAAAAGAAAAGTATCAAGGAAATATTATTTATTACAATTATACCCTCATTAAAGGAGGAGATGGGGCTAAAGATAGATTTAGTGGGGGCTAAAAATTACTTCCCTAAACCTAAAAGAAGAGGCCCAAGAATACCCAATAAGACCACTATCAAGACTTCTCCGTCTCATGGTTGTTAGTATCCTACGACACCCGATACGTATCATACGATACGATTCGATACAGGTCACCAACGATACGTATCAAAGAGTGTATCCTAAACCTTTCGATACATTGATATGTATCCTACGATACGATACGTATTCATTCGTATCCTTAAAAATATCGATATAGATCGATACGAATTTGGGCCAAAGGCCCAAAAAAATTTTCGGGTCGAAACCGGCTCACCCAACCCGATTCACTAAAACCTGTCTAAATTTACCCATTTTGCATGAAGAAAGTGAAGAGGAATATGTGTTACCCATTTTACATGATAATAATAATATAAATGGAAATATCATTGATCTTGCAAATGATATGAATGGTTGAGAGAAAATAATATAAATTCTTAATTTTGTGATTAATTTTGATCATGTAATACTATAATTTAAAGTCAATAATACCACACAATTCTTTAATTAATCTTGGGAATGATATTAATTTTTTTTTTTATTTTGATTATTTTATTAATTTTTTTGAAAAAGGAGTATTTTACGATACGATACAATACGCGATACACGATTCAAAAAATTAGGTTTTCGATACACGATACGATACCCGATTTGACAATCATGCTCTGTCTAGTTAAATACAGATTACCTGTCTCTTCAATTATCAAAGAAATGGATCAATTCTTAGTCTACCCATTAACCAGCCAATTCGAGCATATCCAGAATCAAATGTAATTGCAGGTTTCTTAAATCTAAAAATTGAAAAGCACAAAAAAGCAATAATTATAACTTAGACCAAAATGAATAACTAAAGAATAAAGAATATCATATCAACCCAAGGGGGTTAGCCTAGTTGTTGAGTTGAAGACATGAAACAGTGCTGTTTTGGCCATAAGTGGTGTGACGTCGTTTTGGGAGCTATTGAATTGAATCTTGGCTGTTAATCAACTGCAGATCCAATGGCTGAAAATCAACAATATGGTCAACACTATATAAAGGAGCAAATTGGGAAATAGCTAAAGGTTCTCTTCTTCATGAATTTTAGAGTAATTGCTGAAGGGTTTTACTCTTTTTACATTCAATCTGTGTAATCTTGGTGAGTGAGTGTTTGGTTTTTCATTCAAGTGAGAGGGGTTTTACTCTCAAGTTCTTAGGGAATCTGATTGTGTTCTCTAGGTAGGATTACGGGAAAGGTTGAGTTGTATTCTTGAGTTATTGATCTTTGATCTATGGTGTAAACTCTTGATTCAAATTGATTAGTGCAGCGAACTCCTCTGATTCCGGAGCTCAACGTGGATGTAACCTATCCAATCTTGGATAGGTGAACCACGGTAAATTTGTGTGTATTGTTGTGGTTGTTTTATCTTGATTGTGTGTTAAAGATTAGGAAGATTTTCATAACAGTGGTATCAGAGCCTTGGAGATAGGATCTTGTTTGATTTCTGAGTGACAAATTTGTTCAATTGAAAGTTTAGGGAAACCTAGGGTTTGTGAACAATTTGGGGCTTTTGTGTCTAGGCATCTCTTTAGCACTCAAGGGTTCCTAAATCGTAAAATCGAAGGTGAAATTCGTTGATTTGATCTGTTCTTGGAAGTCTAGGGTTTCGTTGGGGTTATTAAGTCAAAAATCAGAATTGAACCTTTAGGATTAAAATCAGAGTGAATCTTGAAGTTTCTTTAATACACACACAATGTCTATAACTACTAGAATGGAGATTACCCAATACGATGGGAAAATCGACTTCAGTAGTTGGAAGAAAAAGATGAAGGCACTGCTCTTCCATAACAAGGTGGCTCTGGCTCTGGAGAAGAATGCTGAGAAGTGGCCTGAGATAAGCTAAAGAAAAAGGCAGAAATTGATGAAGAGGCGTACAACCTAATCATCATGAACTTGGCGGACAATGTCCTGCGGAAGGTAGATGGCCTAGAGACTCCTCTGGCCTTGTGGGGTAAACTCGAAACACTTTACACTTTACAATATACACCTAATCTTGCATTTTTAAAGGGTGCATTGTTTTCTTATAAGATGGATGGTTCTAAGTGTATAGAAGACAACCTAGATGAGTTTCTAAAAATGACCTTAATTCTTAAGGGGACTGATCAGGAACTAGGAGATACCATCCTTGCTATGATTTTACTGAATTCTTTAACTGATGATTATTTGGTTGTAAAGAATGCACTGCAATACTCAGGGACTGTACCGAGTCTAGACTTAATTGTAGCAGGCTTAAAAGCTAGGAAACTTGAACTAAAAACCCAAAGAAGGAATGGAAGCAATTTGTTTGTAAAGAGTAAATGTGAAGCTAGTCAATCTAGTAAAGGAAACCAGTATAATAATGGTCTTAAGAACAAGAAAAAGGGTAAAGGAAACAATAGGCCTAAAGGAGAAAACAGAAAATGCTTTTATTGCAATAAAACAGGTCACCTAAAGAAGAATTGTTTTGAATGGATTAAAAAACAGAAACAGGGAAATACTGAGAGTAATATAGCTTCTATTAAAACCCACATAGAAGAGTCTAAAGTCCTTACTGTGTCAAAAACTGATTGTGTGCATGAATGGGTTTTGAACTCTAGTTATTCCTTTCACATAAGCCCAAATAAAAATTGGTTCGAGGATTTTGAACCGTATGAGCATGAAACTGTTTTTATGGGTAATAATAATGCATGTGGGGTTAAGGGAATAGGGAATATCACACTAAGGCTAACTGGTGGGAAATTGGTTAAATTTACTAAAAGTCAGATTTATCCCTGAACTAAAAAGAAACTTAATATCTTTAGGGACTCTAGATGAATCTGGTTGTAGTTATAGAGTTGAAAATGGGTGTTTGCTTGTGTACAAAAATGAGAATCTTGTCCTTAAAGGAGAAAAGAAAAATGGGTTGTACATTCTCTGTGGTAGTTATAACTCTAAACTGCATAATTCTGCTCTTGTCTCTATTAATGTTTCTGTAACAGAAAAATGGCACCTAAGATTGGGCCACATGAGTCAAAGAGGGATGAATGTCCTCAATAGCCAAGGGATGTTTAGTAATGATACTATTTCTACTTTAGACTTTTGTCAAAATTGTGTGTTGGGAAAACAACACAGGTTGAGTTTCAAAAGGGGAACTCACCTTGCTACTAAGTGCTTAGAGTACCTTTATTCAAACTTGTGGGGACCTGAAAAGTTAGGTCCCATGGAGGAAATAGCT